CCCCAAAACCCCAAAACCCCAAAACCCCATTATAAATTTCCTGCTTGAAAATGTCTTCTATCTCTTCCTCTTATTCTTGAACTCCAGGTCCAAAATCTCTTCTGTAAAATAACCAGACACCTGGAGAGCTCCCCCAGGCTAGCTCTGGCCCAGCCAGCGGCTGGGCCAGAGCTTGGGGCTGGTCCTACAGCTATTTTGGATTTTTTAGGTAGTAGATTTAGGAAGACAATTCAAAGTTTGAGAAGAAATTGAGATTTAGCCGAAGGAGAATGGAAGTAGGAGTGCGGAGGGGTAGGGGGTGGAGAGGGCTGGAGAGCGAGACTGGTAGGGGGGTTTGGAAATAGGGTATTTGTAGGAGGGAAGTTGGGTGGGGATAGAAGTTAGAAACTGGGGTAGTGTTGGTGGAATGGGTTTGTATTTGTGTGCTTAATGGAGATGTGGATGTATGCTAATGTTAGTAGTGTTTGGAGATGTTTTTAGAGGTTATTAATGATGTGAGAGGAGATCAGTAGTTCTTTTTAGAGGTTCATAATGTTGATTAGTTTTTAGAAAACAGATATCTCTTGTATAGTTTAAATAAACGAATTTTTAAGCTCTTCATTATCTCAAGCTTTCTTTAATAAATACATTAATCCCCACGAATTACTGGCAAAATCAGACTCTGCCTTCAACTATTTTTTTTAACTAAACCCAAAATAAAAGTGATAATACTTAAAGTTCTAATGGCAAGCAACAAAAGACTAGATAATTCATTCCAAGACAAATTTTCTCTAAAATCTCTATTACAAAACCTTCCCTCTCTAAACCTAACAAATTGATGATTTTGCCAAAACTTCATATCCTGACCCATCTATATTTCTCTTATCGTAGTTATTTCCAAACAAGCAAATTGCACTGAAAAGTATCGTAAGCACATGGTCTATCCTGCACAAAATTTTAGACATTTTCAGGCACGAAAATAACTGAAATGATCACCAGGCATCGTTTCGAGTTAGTACTACACTAATGGCTGGTGATAATGAAACAACATGGAAAGGTAACTTCTAGAGTGTAATTTCTTTGCCTCAATTAGTGGGGTTAGAAAATTCATCTATCTATACGGGATATGAATTCTTCAAAAGTTATAGTTATCGCTGAGAGTATCGAACTAAACATTAGCCACCATTTAATGTCGTGATGTGTCTCATAATTTACAAAATACGGACCGGCAAAACCTAATGAAGTGTCTATTTTGCTTAAGCAAATTATTAGTACAAGGTCCTAAGTCTTGAAAGTTTTCAACTTAAAAAGCTGAAAATGTATTATGAAAAGCTACTCAATTGATTATTGTGGCTTAACCACAGAGCTAAATTGCCTGAATAATACAGGTTCAGTGGATAGACTCTAATATAATGTTATTGTAGAGATTCCTATTGACTTCAACATCTTCAAACTCTCCAGAAATTTGTAAGTATTTTCCCATGAAAAATATTAATATTTAGAAAGATTTTTTGAAAGGTAAATAGCCATCTTCCTTCTATTTCGTTTTTCAAAGGCAAAATTTTGCAGACTCCCTAATTCAACGGCGCCTCTATTACCTATGTAACTATTTGCTTGAAAAAGAAGAATTATTTGTTGATAATTTGCCTAAGGATGTCACGAGTTATATTTCCAAATCGTCCCAAAAATAATCAGATTTTTATGAACAACTTGGGCATAGAGATTTACTACAAAAAATTTATGTCACAAACTCTTCTAATGGCTTGAAGCAGATTTTTTGATAATTTGGTTATAAAAGAAACTCAAATTATGCCCTGAAGGATAAATTAACGCCCTTACTTTCTGCATCTTCCGCATGGTTTATAATATCTGCCAGAAACAGCTGACTTATAATAAGTCTATTACCAGTCAGTTTTATTTAAAACAGCTAATGTTTAGGCTCTTTTGAGAATTTGAATACTCCTTGATAAGGAGTTCTTCCTCATGCGTAATTCTGAAAATTAGACTGGTATTAAGCCTATTGGGGTTGCAACCTGATAGGAATTGTATAGGGGTTTAGAAAGTTTGCAGTATTTGGAGGAAGTTCGATGCAGGCATTATTAGTGGCTTCAGTTATAAGCCTAATTTCAGGGTTTCGTGTCGATGATGTTTCGTATGAGGTGTTAGGAGAATTAAAAACGGTGTACGCACGTTGCATGGAAAAGTTTATATTAGATTTCTTACTCGTAATCAGCGTATCCTTATAAGACCAGAGTGTCAATAAAGTTCTAAATTTTATGAAAAGAGCCATTAGTTGTCCCTGCACTAAGTCTTAAATTGATAAAATTTTGGGAATTAGTAGTTATAAGTCTTAGCAGCAATTCATATCTATTTTATTTATAAAATGGCGATCAAATTGTGCGAGAGCTCCAATTTGTGCTATTTCACCTATCCTCTAGCTCTAATACAGACAAGTATCTTTACATAGCTTAATTTATAAGGATACGCTGGTAGATCTTCCCCAGTCATTAGGTTTTTCCTAAAATAGGCAAATATTTCTTGGGCTATTTTCACCAGGTTTAATTTTCCTTCGCAAAGGTGATGGAGATTTCCCAAAATAGTAAAATTAGCAATCAAGACTGATGAATTAAATTATTATGAAAAGTTATGATTCCCAGGAGACTTTAGATATCCTGCATGGTTATGAAGATATCTTCATCTCCTTGTGGATTACTGGAGGGGGCAGCTAAGTCAAGGTCTGCAAATGCATCCTTAGACTTCTTTTCTTTTCCTTGGAAAAGATTCTTGAAAGGGGTATTGATTCCCATGTTTTCTTTACAAGGACGCATCTCTGTGCTACCTTCAAAACAGAGCTTCTGATGATACCTTCTAGCTTTGTCACCGTCAGATGCTTTTCTTTGAGAGACTAATTGTTGAAGGAGTTCTTTTATCTCCCTTGACATACTTTGTCTCTCTTCTGAGGTATGTACGAAGCTTGAGCTTTTATTTGCTAGCACTTTTCTTCGGTTCATTTCCTTAAAGGATGGTACAACAGCAGAGGCCTTAGTTGTCTCAGATGGATATCTCTCTTCCAAAACTCTTCTCTTCTGATTGAACTTAGTGTCTTCAAATTTACTACAAGAGATACTTGGCTTCGGAAAGAAGTTGGTTTTTCCTTTAGAAGTAACATTTCCTTTGTTTTTCATCGGGCTGTTGCTCATTTTGCCCTCGGTTGAATCCTTCCTTAGTGCCTGAACCTTATTCTTTGTGACTGGGCTCGAGGTTTCGTCATCTCAATCGCAGATGAGTTCTTGTTTCTCCCAGAAACTCTTGTCTTCCATTTTAGTTGAATATTAATTATTTATGATTGAATCTGCCAATACTTATACTCCTTATGGGGTTTTGGGGTTTTGGGGTTTTGGGGTTTTGGGGTTTTGGGG